CACACTCTGCTCTTACTGGTGCAATGTGCAATCAATGAAGACTGGCTACCAGGCTGGTCCAATTTAGCCATGAAACCTCCCACACTAAAATGACAGGTGTTTCAGTTTCATTGTCCAACCCTGTACTGTATCTCACATTTCACAAGTCAGTCTTGAATCCCATTTGTTTCACCTGTAGCACACTATGAGCTGCATTATGCTTCACAACCAGCAGTGATGATGGTTGGTTACCTTTTGCACATTGGAGCATCAGTTATTTAAAGCCTGTCAAGATCTGACATGGCAGAAAAGCTGGCAGATCGAAAAGCAGAAACAGTAAAAAGGTGTCTCTTTGAGATGATGTAGAGAAAACTGTTTTAACCTGTGGCTTCTTCTTAGAGAACAGAACAGAAAGCACTTACCTGCAGTTGAAACTGCTTATCATTAAATCCTTAAATTTTGCTTCATGGCACTTCTGCTAAGCATCCTTCCTAACTCAGCAGTTTGTGTCGGGTGGAAGAATTTTAGGAATAAGCAACTATACATGATGTCTAATGTAGCCTTACTGGGTCGGTGGGAAGAGGGAGATGCTAATGATGTCTGACTTGTGTCATAACACTGCATATTTTCTGACGTTTTCACTGGGTTCCTAATTTGACTTTGCTTTGCAGTGTTATTTTCTCTGCCACCCTCTTTTTTTCCCTCACTATTCTGCCCACTCATCCTTCTGTCTTCTGCCATGTGACAAATTTCCACATGTGAAGATGCAGAAAGCAAATTGCAGATCCCACCCACTCGGTCGCCCATGCAGATTCTGTATCCCAGGCTCTCTCTTCTCCACCTGAAGGGCTCGGAGAGAAAAGGGGAGGAAAGGCAGGGGTGGATTGACAGTCTGAAATAAAGTTTCTTGCCTCACACATTGAAGCTTACATGAGGCATCACTGGGTGACCGATATTAGCTCTTAAGTTTGATTTTTTTTTTTTTAACTGATGCTTGCGTCACTTTTTAACAAGACCCATCTATGTAAAATAGCCCTGAATTGCTCCTCGGATCATTGAAGCAGGTTGGCATAGAGAGAAGCAGGATGAGGCATAGAAACAGTGGTTACCATTTAGTATAACAGTCTGATTTGCTGGATCTGCACTGCAGCTGTGGTGGTTAATTGCCTTGCTCAAAGGCAGCTCTGCAGTAATAATAATCTTCAATTATCACTGCTCATATCCACTGATAGCCTTGGGAAATTAGCACCACAAAGGAGCAGGTTGTGTTGACTCACAGTTCATGATAGAGACTGATGAAAATTGTTCTACTTAGTTCTGTCCGAGTCATTTTAAACATTTTTGCATCAGTTTCAGTCATAACTTTCAAAACAGATCAACATGATGATGATATTCAGGAACCAGTGTGGAATTTTCTGTTTTTAACAAGAAAAACATATTCTATTAGTGGCTGTCACTGGAAGTGTAATTGAATTAGTAGTGCTGTGCATTCAAGGGGATGTTGCATTGTGAAGGGACACAAATATTCCAGATTAAGGTCATAGGTTGTTACCAATAAGAATACTCCATACATGTTGAACTGAGTTTTGAAGTTTATTATGTAACAGAGTGGATGTAAATGGGTCGTGTCACTACTATGAATCTTTCATTTGCATAGTAAATCAAACTGTTATGCTTCTCTGCCACTTTATGTGCCATGGCTGAAACAAATTACTACTGTCTTATGGGTTAAAAGCTACATTAGGGGAACTTAATGTGCTGTCCAAAACCTCATTCCTGCTAAGCAATTTAATATTTAAAAAAATCCTAACTGGACCCACATATATCTGTTAAGTTTCTGACATTTAGTTCAAATCAAAGCTATAAATATTCCATACTGTTGCACTTGGTCTTTAATCAAATAAAATCTTATGACTAGATACATTAAAGGATAATAAATGTGTAACTAAAACCTCTACACATTAATGTGCCTTGTGCATACGCAATATTTTTGCCATACTTATGACTAAATCATTATATGGGATCTGACAAAGTTGATGGCATGGCCAAGCTAGTAAAAAAAGTTGTCAGTTCTAAGGTTTTAGCGTGTAAATGGTCAGGCCCCTGTCAGATTTTAACATTTTAAAATCTAACCTTGTTTATAACCTCCCACACTGCAGATTCTACTATACCATTATTTTTATTGATCAAATCTAAATGAACATGGACAAAGTATATAAAAAAAGTACACCCAAAACCCCCAGCTAAATACAAATATGTAAAACCCTAGATTTTAAAGAGGGTAAACTTTCTTTCTCCCATATCTTTAAAGCTGTATACTTTTAACTGGTGTATTTAAACATAAGATATCAAATCCAATAATATTTTATAATAATTTATAATGATTATTATATAATAATAATTTGGTCTGTTAAGTGTTGTCCGGTGAATACCAGCCCACTAAGGCGGTGGTATTTAAATATAGTGAAAGGGGTGGGCCAGGCGGCACGGTGGCGCAGTTGGTAGCACTGTTGCCTTGCAATAAGAAGGTCCTGGGTTCAACTCCCGGCCAAGAGTCTTTCTGCCTGGAGTTTCTCCCCGTGCGTGTGTGGGTTCTCACTGGGTACTCTGGCCTCCTCCCATAGTACAAAAACATGACTGTTTGGTTAATTAGTCTCTCTACATATCCCTTAGGAATGAGTGGGTGCATTGTTGTGTGTCTGTGTTGCCCTGCGATGGATTGGTGACCTATTCAGGGTGTACCCTGCCTCTCACCCATAGATTGCTGGAGATAGGCACCAGTTCCCTTGTGACCCACTATGGAATAAGTGGGTCACAAGTGGTGTAGAAGATGAATGACTGACTGGCAATAATTTATTACTTTTATTAATAAAAATAAGTGGGTAATAAGTCAATTCAAAGTCATATTTCAATCACATATATATATATATATATATATATATACATATATGTATACATGTGTATATATATGTATATATGTATACATATATACATGAAACTGAAACACCTGTCATTTTAGTGTGGGAGGTTTCATGGCTAAATTGGACCAGCCTGGTAGCCAGTCTTCATTGATTGCACATTGCACCAGTAAGAGCAGAGTGTGAAGGTTCAATTAGC